CTCACACACACACACACACACACACACCTCTAGCAGCAGCTGGCTCTCAGGGACACCGCTGGCTGTCGTGTCGCACTCTTTCCCGTTCACGTGTTTCTCACGAGGGTTTTCCTGAGCAGCTGCAGAAACAGGAAAGAATAGAGTGAAATACTTCATACATTTATTCACATTACATCTGACTTCTTATAAGTGACTGGCATGAATTTTCTATTGTGTGAACAGTGAACTTCAGCTCTATTCTCTTCCTCTTTTTCAACAACATTATTCAAATCCTAACATAAGAGAAAAGCTCATTGTGTTTGAAAAATCCACAATCTCTGCCATTGTCTAATGTGTTTTTCATGTGCTGCTCATAATAAAAGCATCTTCATGTTGTTGATGAACTGAAATCACTGTAATCAATGCAAACTTGTGTAAATATCACAGCATAACTGATCAAAAGTGTCATGTTCAGCTCCAGAAACACACTGATCTTCATTTATCCCGAGCTGAAACATCACACGCATGAAGCAGGAGGCTAAACCAAACTCACAGTACTTTGACAGGATTGAATCAATTAAGAGCGGACACTTCATGTGTTTGTGAGCCTTCAGTGAGTCTAAACTGGTTCACAGTTCTTTGGGATTATTTGTGATGGTGTGTGCTGAATGGTTTGGTGGCTGAGCTCAAGTGAACAGCAGCTGCTGTGAGTGAATTCAGTCAGACACACCCCGAGTCCTGCCCACTAACCCCATCCGACCAACCAGCACACACACACACACACACACACACACAGAGAGAGAGAGAGAGAGAGAGAGGGGCGCTGGCTGAGTGAGCTGCTGCTGGCACGCGATCCAGTCCTCCGTCAATCTGCAGTGTCTCTGACAGACGGCTGGCGTGAGTCCAAGCCCTTGCGTGCAAACTGAGGAAGCCACATTAGCCTATAAAGACTTTCAGAAGAACAACAGCTGTTAAATATTGATGACTGCTGGCAGGCCATGAATGCTCGCAGCAGAAGGTTAAGCTCTGATGTTATGGAGCCTAACAGTTCATTATATGAGCTATTGTGTCCGCAGCTCCTCTCTCAGTATGTGCTGCTGGTAACGAGACATTATTCATTCGCACTGTTCTCGTCCTCTGCTTGGGGCACTTAAACTGTCTCTGTCTAGAGTCATTAATAATCCTCACATTTCTAGCAGGAAACAAATGTTTAAATTAATCAAGTAAAAGATTAAATATAGTAATTAACCGGTTTGCATCTGATCTCAGGTTTAGAACAAGCTCATTTAAACACATGATATCTGATCTACAGACACAGAGGACTAGCATTTATGTGACAGCAGGAGCATAAAACAATATGTGAGTATAACTCAAGCTTTACATGAAAATAATGGCCAGAACACAGAATTACCCATAATATTTCAGCATATTTTAGCTCTGTGCATGCTCTAATCTGCTCATATTTGATTGGATTCTGTCTCGTCCAGCGCTGGACCAGCAGATCCATATAGAGACACTTCCAGAAAAATATTCATCTATTTAGATGGATTATTTAGAGATCTGAAACACAAATCATATGAACCCAGATGTGTTTGTGTGTTAGAAGAGCTACTGCATTTACACAAGCGCACTACATGTTTGGAGCACTTGTGTTGATGTTTATTGTCATGTTTACTCTCTCTCTCTGCTAAAAACTGACTGAAATCTCCTTCAGTTTCGTTCATATCTGGCTTTATTAAGTCATCCCACATGCAAACTCTCTGCAATGTGGAACTAGTTTTGGGAAATATTATTTTTGTCTCTAATAAGGCAGCAGCTTGAGTTTATGAGTTAAAGAGACAGTCTCAATATTATTCTTATCCATCCTCGCAGATCATCGAGGATCATAATTAGCAAAAGCCACGCGAGTATCTATTCTGCCACAATAACAGACGTCAAGCCCATCCGAACAGCTGTCTAACCCTGATTAACGTTAGAGAAAACAAGAAAACATTGTCAGATTTGTTTTGAAATACCTACAACCCAGGAGTATGTGTGAGATTGTGCTAACAGGAGAAATATGAGATATGTTTTGGATGCTGTCCAGTCTGTCAAAGTCACCCAACACCAAAAACAGCCATCATGAATTAGCCATACTGATCCGGATCAGTGACATCACTTGATCCCGGCAAATTAGTGATATTCCAGTCACCCGCGCTAGATTAATTACTGCATCACAGCCACCATTCATCTGTTCACAGCATATTCATTTAATGGTTAATGTCACCAAACCCAAGCTCACTGCATCTCCTGTCTCTCATTTACACTCTTCACACGGTAAAAACACACCAGACTGATGTAGAATGACATGTAGATTATGTAGTGATCATAATTCCAACATGACAATCATCCGATCATATGAGGATCTTCTGTTTACACGACAGTTTCTCTTCGTTTCTTTGGGGCATCAAAACAAAAGCTTCACCAAAAAGTAAAGAAGCTTTATCAGTATCACAGTGTGTAGATGCACATGAAGTCAAAGAAATACTGAATCTGGAGTGCCACGTGTTTCTCTCACAGTGTTCATTACTGGCGTGTGCTCTACTTATCTGCGGCCCCACAAACCCCACAAACAATTATCGCTGCCACACAATGAATTTATTATGGTTTCCTGAGTAAATAAACAGCATGCAGTGGGCTGCTAGCGGTTCGTCAGGTCTGGATGGACGTCACAGCTTCTATTCAGCCTCAATGTGTTTAGATTCACACAGCGTCCAGCAGCAAAGCAGAAGTCTGCATCACGTTTATTTCTCATTGGTGATTCTGTGTTGGTTCCTCTGTGAATAGATGCTTTTGTTCTGTTTAAATGTAATTCAGAAGAGTCAAATACAGCACAGACCGGTGAACACAACCCTGTTGAATAATCAGCATATGCTGGTTAGGTCTGTTTTGAAGCATGGCTGCTGGTTTGTGCTGGTCCTAAGCAACTAGCTCCTGCTCATAACCAGCTTAAACCAGCTCAAACCAGCAGCCAACAGGGAAGGTCTCAAAGTCTGATTTACAATGGCTGTCTGCTTGAAAATTCATTCAAAAAAGGCAAACACTAATATTTTGTTGAACTGTTTTTACCTTTGATTACAGTGTGAATCCATTGTTGCATTGCTTCCAAAACCTTATGCAACATCACAACATCGAAAAACTCCAGCACATCCCAAAGACTTTCAATGGAGTTAAAGTCGGGACTGATTCCCTGAACAACTCTTTGACCATTAAACCCGATGAATCCTGGAATATGGCAAAGGGATTGGTCTTCATACATGCTTGTTTAAGAAATGAACAGCTGCACGTGTATCGAAAATGATTACAAGTATTGTTTTCAAACATATAACATGCCACAAACATATTAAGCACTGCGATCATGATCTAATCCCAGATTCTTTAGTATCCACTTATTAAAATCCAAACAGCATGATTTTTGGCCAGCAGTGTATTGCAGGTGAATCAGAGTGTTGTAATGGCACGCAAAACTCAACCCCGTCGCCCTCTGAGCAGCTGCACATCAACGGCACAACAGCTTTTCCACCGTTTTCCTATCAGCAGCAGTTTGATTTATGACTCCAGTGCAAGAATTTCTCTCAAATATCTCCAGCATGTTCTGAAGTTTTCTGTTCACAGACGGACTGGTCCTGTTGCGAGTGGCTTTGTTTTCTCTTTCTACTAGAAACTGGACTGTAACGACAACCAGCACAAACACATAAGAAAGTGTGATGATTTCAAAGTCAAATGAATATTCTCACGTAAACAAGAGCGGATCTGTTGTCTGGTCTCACTTCAGACAGAACGCAACACACTCGAATTACATTTAAAAGTGCTTCTGATGTACAAAATGAAATGATATCAAATACGAGGAGAAGGCCTGAAGCGTCTGACAGCCGGTCTGTGTGCGGAGGGAAGACTCCCGGAGCAGCGGGTAAATCCCAGTCCTGGACCGGTTCCCAGGCGTTGCGTGCAGAAGCTGCTGCTGCCCATCGACATGCAATCATGTCCAATAGAAGCCGCAAACCCCTTGACTTCTACAGCACAGCTGGAGGATCAGATGTTTACACTGAAGACAGAGTCTGTGAGACTTCAGAGCCGTGAACAGATGCACTGATCTCAGTGACCAGCACACAACACCCACAGCGTCTCGTTGATTAGAACACGAACAAACGCTGATCCACTTTCACATTTGGCTTTGCACAGACCGTCTGTGATTCAGGGCCGGGTTGGGATTAGATGCATTTTAGCATCAGGGTTCATGTTTGGCATCTCATGAGCAATAGTACCACTGGGCAACATATTTATTTACATGTACAGTATATGTCAGTTCCATCATATTTATTAAACTGCCTGTAAACAGTCAATGCATGTAGATAATAAATATACATGCGTTATTTTAGTCTGTGCTTAGTTTTTTTTCTATACATTTTCTATTTACTTTATAGATAAATATTTTGATATATAATATTGTATTTCTGTGTACTAAAGCTTCTGTCACCAAGACAAATTCCTCGTGTGTGTGAACAGACTTGGCAATAAAAGCTCATTCTGATTCTGGTTTGTCTTCAGTCCGTCGTGAAACACTCGATGCTTTCGCAGACTGCGATGAGAAGCGGCTGGGAAAACAGCAGTGTTAGAACAGCCTGTTTTTTTCCTTTACCTGTCATCTTTGTCACACTGATGTGTGTAATTAATTATCGATTTAACTAAAACTCCCAAACTTTGACTGAAACTGTTTTCGTCTCACTGAACTTTCCAGATGCTGGAGAGAGATCTGCAGCACGAACTCTAAATACACTGAATTTATAAACTGTGGCTGAGGAATGAGCTGAAACATGTGGCCTCTACGCAAAACAAACCGTGGCACGCAACCCTCCGCCAACATACCATTACTTCACAGTGCTCTCCTGCTTCTGGACCCAGAGCTTTAATTCAGCGCAGTCCAATAAATCACTCACACGCTTCAAGACGTTCAACCACAATCCATTTCTCATTCAAAGTTTTATTTCGGGTCCTCAGCAGATTCTACATCTAATATGTTCATGTTAGTCTTTTACTAACCTCTAATGCAATAGAAGTATTTGGGTGAGCGTTTGCATTCATGTAAATCAATGAGACCACA